CCTCCATGAAAACCTGAAAGGACAAGGGTCTGAGGGCTTCTGGGTTGGTGAATATGTGGACATTCAGAGAGAGTCGTATACTTGGAGAGGGCATGGAAGCTCCATGTCCTTTCCCTATATAGCTCTTCCATGTGGCTGTTCCTGAGTGTTATCCTTTTATAATAAACCAATAATCCAGTAAGTAAAATGTGTTAAATAACAAGATTTTGACTGAGCAAATTTGGAGATCAAATTGGCTTTATTCAATGATTCATGAGTTACTGCAGCATCAAGTCTAGCAAATAGAAAGAAGCTCCAAGGAGCTGTACAAATGGAAAGTTTTTAAAACAGGGTGGTGGTGGTGGTGGGGTGTGTGTGACAAGGAAGTCATAAATGAAAAAAATTATTTCGGGTCACCTCCCTTTGTGCGTCAAAAAGTTCTGTTTAGGCAGATTATCTTACTGGTGTTGACCAGAAAATTCTAGATGCTCTGTTTAAAATTACATTCCTGGGCAAAGTTGAACATATTAAACAAAGATATAAACTTCCACAGCTGAAAATCCTTTTAAAAGAAAGGGTTCATTAGGCCATTGCTAGCAAAAAAAAAAAAAAGAATACTGGTTTAGGACATGAAGTGTAAACCATCAGCAGCCTAGCTAGCTAGAAGAGACAAATATGTCCATCATCCCAGAGTTTTGCAAGTGTTTTTATACATCAAGTAGAGTGGGGGAAAGATGTAAACCATTCTGAAAAATTTACATTAGCTATAGACAAAGGGGATGGAGAAGGGTAAGAAGGGCTAATTCTAAGATAGGTCCAGCAGAGTCTGCAAAGCACATGTGTAAACAACAAGTAGGGGCTCCTGGGATTCCATGACACTTGGCTATTCTCTCTTTTTAGGTAATCCCAGAAATAGCCACTAGAAATTAATTTTAAAATTCCAACATACACTAAGCAGTATGAGCACTCTTTTGTCAGAGCTGGCCTGTAGCTATTAACAGGCTAACTCTTCTCTCACTTTCTAGTCACTGTAATTTTAATTTAGAACATCTCAGAATTTATTTCTTAACACTGCAATTAGGTTAGGTCTTGTGGTTTGGTGATGTGAGCTTAGTACAAGTGACTTTATTTGGGGCCTGTTATTTCTTTTTAAGAAATGTTTCTGAATTCTTTGAGGTACTCTAGCAAATTAATCAAACCCAAGATGGGGGTTGTTGGAACCTCCAATCTATAGCTGGTTTGTTAGAAGCACAGCAACTGGCATGTGAGGTGTGTGTGTGGGATTTGACACTATCTCCAGAGGTAGTGTTAGGATTGAGTCAAATTGTAGGATACTCAGCCAGTGTCTGAGAATTGCTTGTTGGTGTGGAGAACTGCCCCCGAACAAACATATATGGGAATTGGGGGCAGAACCCCTTAATAAGCAAATACGAGTTTTGGTCCAGGGAATGTACATTTAAGGAAAAACCAATGCAGTAGCACCTTTACTCTCTGAACAGGGGCTCAGCAACCACATAAACATGAGCCAGCACCCCAGTAAGTAATGTACTTGTGGGTGCACACAAGCTACAGGCCCTGCTTCCATAATTAGAACTCATTTTCCCAGTGATAGCCCAGATTTGGAAAAGTTATCCCCTGGGCACCTTTTTTTTCCACTAATGAGAGTGGCATTCTGTCAAGAATCTGGAAAGAAGCTGAAGAGCTGGTCACAAGCAGGCAAGTCAAACATGGAGAATGGAAGAAATCAGATCGAGACTGACTTCAAAGGAAAACTCAGTATTGCTTAATAAATTATGCTATACTATTGCACCAATGGCTATCCTTCATGCCATGAAGGTATATTAATTCTATGTCACTCTTATTGAACCACAGGTGATAGCTGGCATGAAAGGACACAATAAAAATAAACTTGAATTTAAAGGAAAACACTATACTGTGCAAAGGCCTCATCAAAACCAAATATAATAAGCATATTTGAAGCAGAGTTCACAAGCCATGTAAAATCAAACTTAGTAGCTGGCATTCTATAAAGAAGAGCTTTCTTTTTTTTACTCCATTTTTTCTTGCTTTGCATTTTTATTTATTTAATGGGTTATAATCAATTCCAGATATTATTGACGGCACAGTGTAAAGAATTATTTCAAGTAGTTTTTAAACACTCTAACTGTATAATTAAAAGGGATCTCTACACTATAACAGCAGCTGGCAAACATTTTCTGTAAAGCACCAGGTAGTAAATAGAGTCAACCCTCATCATTTGTGGATTCCATATTTACAAACTTACCCACTTGCTAAAATTTATTTGTAATCTCAAAGTCAAACTCACAGCACTTTTGTGGTCATTCATGGACATGTGAAGAGGGTTGCAAAATGAATCCCCTGACACACATGGTCTCAGCTGAACTCAAGGCAACTCTCTGTTTTATTTAGGTTCTCATACTGTAAACAAGTGTCTTTTTTGCTCAGCCTATTTAGTACCACGTTTTCTCATTTTTGTGCCTTTTATTGGTGATTTTGCTGTTTAAAATGTCCCCAAGTATAGTGCTAAAGTGATGTCTAGTGTTCTTAAACACAAGAAGGCTATGATGTGCCTCACAGAGAAAACATGTGTCAGATAAACCTCATTCAGGCATGAGTTATAGTGCTGTTGGTCATGAGTTCAGTGTTAAAGATATCAACAATCTATAAAAAGTATCTGTAAATAGAAACACATAGAACAAGGGTAAGTATTGAATGATGAAAATGTTGTGACCAGACACTTTCAGGAAACTAACCCAGTATTTCCCATTGGAGCAATGGTTTCTAACTCAGTGTCTGCAATAACTTCATAAAATACAACAACTGTGAATAATGAGAATCAACTGTATTTTAGGCTCCACAGGCCTTTCAATCTACTAACTGCTCAATTCTGCCCTTGTAACTAAAATGCAGCCATAGACAATACATAAATGAGCATGGCTATATTCCAATAAAACTTTATTTATAGACACTGAAATTTGAAATGCATGGTTTTCACACCTCACAAAATATCCTTCTTTTGATTTTTTTAACCACTTAAAAATAGAGACATCATTTTTTACTCACTAGTAAACCCACCAACAGATGGTGGGACAGATCTGGCCTGTAGGTTGTACGTGTCAACCCTGGTTTAGAACTACAATCAAAATTGCTATTTACTAGCATTATTGTTAGTAGTAATATTGTCAATGCAGTTTTAAACTATTTTATAGTAAATCTAGGCTAATGCAAATAAATAAATGTTAATATTATAAAGAACCAGGATTTCTTTTGTTGAATTGAAGAGTTGGATTTGTTTCACAGGCTGGCGCTCAATCCACTGGGCCACATCAGCCAGGGCTCTTACCTTTTCTTTTATTTTTCTGTCTCTTTAGCAATTTTTTTCTCTAGAAATTCTGTCCCTGCTGGTGTGGCTCAGTGGATTGAGTGCCAGACTGCAAACCAAAGGGTCATGGATTCTATTCCCAGTCAGGGCACATGCCTGGGTTGTAGTCCAGGTTTTTAGTGGGGGGCTCTCAAGAGGCAACCACACACTGATTTTCTCTCTCTAAAAAAATAAATAAAACCTTTTTTAAAAAAAGAAAAGGTAAGAATAAAACCCAGTAGTGTTAGCATGAACTCATGCTTTGAGCCTTAAACAAGTTTCTTGCCCTCCTTTACAATGAAGAAAAGAGTGCCTGATCTGAAACCCAAGATATTTGACTCCTTTAATCCTGCATTGTCTGCTCTAGCTGTGGGGGAACTCAAGAGTTGGAAAATTTTAGTTTTAGCTAATATTTAATAAGCCTAGTAGTTAATGCATGTAAAAAGCTATTGTTTCAGGAACTGAAGGTATAGCCCACCTGACTGCAGGAGACCACAAGTCAACCCGTGTGCTCCAGAAGAGACCATAAACTTCAAGATGGTTTCAGAGCTGTCTGAGCCATTGCGTTCTGGGGAGAGACAGTCCCCCACTCAGGACACAGATAAAGAAAATCACTCAGGATGCGGGACACAGGACCCAGATAGAAAATCGCTGGTCAGCAGATAAAAGGATATTAGGGAAATTGCCCGACTGCAGCTTTTATCTGATTAACATATTCTGAATTCCATATCCCTTAACCTACACTTTTTTCCCCTTGAATTCCAAATCCCTTACCTACACTTTTTCCTTAGGCTGGCTTGAAAGGAAATGTAATACAGGCTGCTGGGTACATAATCCACCATCTTCTCAGATTGCTGACCATCTGAATAAAGCACCCATAAAGATGCAATCTCTGTCTCTCTCTCTCTTTTTTTTTTTTTTTTTTTTTTTTTGGTTCTGGTAGTGACAGGCAGCTTGAACACTGACTTTTCAGGTTTCATGGCTATATTCCTTCTTTTTTATGTGAAGATTTTTTTTTTTCTCTTAGTCTAGGACTTCTTAAATCTTCCCCACAAAATCCCCTCAATGCTAAGAAGGAAGGAAATCCCACTTATGGGAATTTGGGGCAGAAGAAAATCAACTATTCCACAGCAGGAATTCCCATTGAAAACAAATTTTTAAAGTTACACATTGTTCTCCACGATACACTTGAGCTTAAATGTAAAATAAATACATAATTATCCAGAAAAATCAGTTTTTCCACCAAATCCTTCAGTAACGTTTATACTTCTAGGTGCAATATTCTTTACTCTATTTCAGTGTTGTGGAGAGCGAGGCTCTGGGTCACATCAGTGATCCAGACAGCCACCTGTTACAGTTCCACAAGAACATACCAGAGGCACACATACTCGGCACACAATCAGGTGCTCTGTTTCTCAGGCACACACTGAGGGACTCACACCCGCGGCCTGCAGATGAAAACAAATCTCTCAAAACCGCCCCCTGCTTTGGACGGAAATGTTGCATCCCCGCCTTCCCTGGGGCGCCACAGGATTATCTGGCTCACTCTACCGGGGGCGGGACTAATGCTCCACCCCCTGAGGCTGGCAACGCCTGCGCATTTAGTGTGTTCAGCCGAAGCTCCCAGCAAACCGTGCGTGAGGCCCATTAGGCCCCTAGGGTTGTGGCGCCCTAGCTTCTACTGGGCATCGATGTGTGACGGGTTCGGATCCCCCGCTGAGCAGTCCTGGCACGGAGGGTTGGTTCCGGCCTTCCGTAGAAAAGGCGTTGCGGCCGGAGGATGTTGAAGGGAAAGGCGCCGCAGCACCGCAGAACGTTGGAAGCTCCGCACTGCAGGTTCGAATGTGCGCGAGAACCGCGGTGGTGTAACTGGGGGCGGGTGGCGGGGACAGGTGTGACATCGGCACTTTGTGAGATTGTGAGGCCGTGATTAGTGGGTGCTGGTGTTTGTGTCACGGAATTGGGTTCAGAGCTTCTTGTGTGACGGAAGTGGTCTCTGTGACTACGGCCCTCAGCGTCATAGGTGAATCTCTACCTTATAGCCGCACGAGCCCAGCCGCGAAGAAATTGCCCCCCCAAGTCAAATACCTGAGCGCCAGTGAAAAGATTTCCCGCACAAAGACCCGATCTTGGGATAAGAATGTTGGAACTGAACGTGACCCCTAGGCTGGCCCTGGGCGTAATTCCACTACACTTCATCCTCGGGTGCCTGCGGACCCACACGTACTCACACTTACAGCTCCCAGGGGTCCAGCTGCTGGTCTCACCACGGAGTTCCCTGCACGCAATTGCTGTGAAATTTCCAGTCCCGCACATCCGTGGCTTGGCCTTTCTCTAAGGGTTATTTGTACTCGCCCTCTTAATTCACTCTAGATTTGTGCGGACGGTGGCTGGTGGTATAGGTGTGGTTGTGATGTGCCCTGCTTTAGCCAGGCTGGGCCGGGGTTGCGAGAAAAGCCGGTTGTCTTAAGGTTCCCTACTTCCTCAGTCCTATCAAATTCTTAGGAAAGGGCTCTGAGGCGGAGGAGGAATGAATTTCTATTGCCCATTTAAAAGTCAAGATCAAGGCTAGTGGGTATTTGTTCGTGTTCTGTGAAATGCATTTTTATATTTTAGGGCATGGCAACAGTTGCGTAAATGACTTTTGAATTGATACCTAGGACCCCTCCCTAGTGCCTATCTGCACACATTCATTTGGCAGATAATTCCCATTATTTCTTTTTATAACTCTGTGTAAAGCTCTTAGTGACTGATACTTATTCCTAAGTACTTAATAAACATTAGCTATTTGTTGTTATGTGATGATTTGGGGCAATTCCCCATTTGTTCCAGTGGATCAGGAAATATGAAAATATCAAGCCAGTTGTGTTGGATATTTCCTAGTTTAAAAAATGAGGTGCTCAAATCGTTTAGAACAGGAATTCTTAACCATAGGTAATTTATATCTGTTTGGGGTTTTCAGGGAACCAGAAACTCCTTGAAATTGTATGTACAATTGTTGTATATATTTGTAAATGTGCCATTTTTCTGGGAAGAAGTCTATAATTTAATGAGGTCATCAAGCATGACCCAGAATGATTCAGATCCACTGGCCTAATAATAGATCCAAGACTAATAATATCTGAGAATATTCTTTGAAATAATCTTATATAAATTAGTATTTAACCATAGGAAATTATTAAATAAGTCACACTCCATTCATGTCACAGGCTATAGGCACAGCTGGAAGGTACCCTTTCTCCCCACCTCTGTTTTTTATTTTATTGGTATGGAAATAGTTTAATGTTTGTTTCTGATGATAAAATTAATGCAGGTTTATTTTAGAAAGAAAAATGCAGAGACCTAAGAATTTACAAAGAATTACTCATAGCCCCACCATCCAAAGTTAATATTACTATTTTGAGATTTGTTTTTCCAAATATTTTTTCTGTGCACTTGTGTAAATGTTTACTTTGCAAAATAGAATCACAAAAAGTGATTATTTAAGGAGGTAAAGACTGTCCAACACCTAGAAAAAGAAATCCAGTGCAGTCATAGAATTTATTATATTTTTATACCTGTAAAGAGTAAAAGGAAGAGCAGTGGTTCCCCTCTAATTTGAAAAGTCTTTCAAGAATTTACACCTTAGGGCAACAGATTCTCAAGTAACATATCCCTTTAGATTTAGAGTTTCTTAGTGGTTCAAGGTTATTTCTAAGTACAGATTTATAATGACAGGAGAAGAGATGTAGTAATGATAAATGTTCAGACATGTTACACAGAACTTGGTCAAACAGTTTTGTATTTAGCATGACACCTTATCCAATCAAATTTCTTGAATTTAATGGTGCCAAATGGTGTCCCTTGGAGCTGCTAGGGATGGAGAGCAAGGGGGACCTTGCTCTGTTTCTTGATTTTTGTGCATTTTTTTTGCTAATATTATTAATTAAGAAAAATTATATTCCAAGTCTGGTTCTAAGCAACTGATGTTGTTTTAAAAAAGAGCAGTCTTAAAAATCTTAATAAGTTCCCCTGTCTGGCGTGGCTCAGTGGATTGAGCACCGGCTTGCTAACGAAAGGGTTGCTGGTTCAATTCCCAGTCAAGGCACATGCCTGGGTTGTGGGCCAGGTCCTCAGTAGGGAGCATGTGAGAGGCAACCACACAATGATGCTTTTCTCCCTATCGTCCTCCCTCCCTTCTCCTCTGTCTAAAAATAAATAAATACAGTCTTTAAAAAAAAAAATCTCAACATGTTTACTATAAGGAAAAAGAGATAGGTATCCTAGTATTAAAATTACTAAACAAAGTTGTTAAAGATAACTTACAAAAGTTTTTTTAAACATTTAAATAAATTATTAAAGGTAATTTTCTTTAATACATAGAATAAGGGTCGTGTAATGTTTTTTATTTTATTAAATACTTATAATAAGCCATTTTAAGTATTATATGTAATTTATTTTTACTTTTTCATTAAATTTTTTTTTTTATTTATTGATTTTAGACAGAGAGGAAGGGGGAGAGAAGAGAGAAGAGAAACATTGATTTGTTCTTTCATTTATTTATGTATTCAGTGGTTGATTTCTTTTTTTGTTTGTTTGTTTTTGTTTCTTTCAGTGGTTGATTTTTGAATGTGTCTTGACCAGGGATCGAACTTGCAACCTTGGCATATCAGGACAATACTCTAAGCAACTGATGTACCCGGCCAGGGCTGTATGCATTTTATATCTATTATATTACTTAGCATTCACAACATCTTTGTAAGATAGGTACTCTTATTATTCTTCCCATAGTTTATCTAGGTGGAAACAGAGGCTTTGAAAATTAAGTAAATGTCCAAAATCCTATTTGGTAATTGTCAGAGTTTAGATTCATGTCCTGGATCCTGACAACAAAGCCTGTGTTCTTCATATATGAGAGTCAACCACCTCCCAGCATTGTGCATAGTTTTAGTCTGTCCGTCATACTTGGCAATTTATTCTGGATATTTTTCTTTAATATGAACCAGTATCATCATTATTAATATTATATAATATGCCATCATATAGAGGAACTTTATTTAGATTTGTTGCCTGTATTAGGTATTCTGACTTTTGGTGATAAATTATTCTTTGATGAACTTCCTTACATATGGCTGTGTACTTTTACAAATATAGCCTAAGGATAAATTCCTAGAGATGGAATTTGTAGGTTGAATTATCAGATATGTATAACATATAGTATACCAGGTCCTGTGCCAGTACTTGGGGTAAATACAGTGACTAAAATGACATAGTTACTATCTTCAAGTTGCTGACTAAGTATTTATCAAGGTGGATAAAACCTCTATAGGAATAAGACTAAGATAAGTCTGATAAAAATCATTGAAGAAGTTAGGGGAAAGGGAAGTGACTTTAGTTCAAGCCCCTGTGGGTTTCCTAGGCACTGATTTGTTCTGTCAGCTCAGTTGCCTGGAACTGCTTGGAGAATCCAGTGGCTGATAAACAGAAACTCTTCCAGAAGGACGGTGACCTCTTGGTGCATTTGAAGGGTGTACGGAACCACCAGCATCCTGTACTGAGTGATCGTGGCGCTATGCTCGGGGGACACTGTCTACAACCTGTTTTGCCTTGTCTGAGCTTCCTTCCCTACAGGAAGTGAGACCAAGAAGCCTGTAGGACTTGAGGGATTTGAACAAGCATCAATAAAGGTACTCGTTTCTTGGGAAAACAGAACAAAACAAAACAAAAACAAAAACAAATTAAAAAATGTCAGATAGCATGGCATGGGAGTTACTGAGGAGATATCATCTGATTTTAGCATATACTATCAGACTGTGATCAAATAATACAAAACCTATGTTGTGGTCTGGGTGAAAAAGATGAAGGGATTAAGAAGTACAAATTGGCAGTCACGAAATAATCATGGGATGTAAAGTACAGCACAGGGAATATAGTCAATAATGTAATAACTATTTATGGTGTCAGGTGGGTACTATACTTATTGGGGGGGACAACTTCTTAAATTATATAATGTCTAACCATTATGCTGTACACCTGAAATAATGTAAAATAATATTGAATGTCAAATCTAATTGGAAAATTAAAAAAAAAAAATTCTCTACCAAAATAAAAACCACTCAAAACCAAAAAACCAAACTCATGGGATTTCTTTGGAGGTAAACGGATTTTAAATAATAAGCTTTATGTCTCACAGTTTTTCTTCTCATAATGTTGATGCAAAGTGAGACCAACAGAACAAGATTCAGCAGCTCTTTGGAAGGTTTCATGGTTAAAATTAATGGTTCAGAAGCAAGATCAGGCAGTTGTGAGAGGCAACAGCAGTGACATAAGGCATTAGTTGGGGATGTTCAAACATTCTTTAAAAGGCAAAACTCCAACATACATGAACAGACTTCAGAATTATTAGCTGGTTCACATATTGGCAGCTGAAATAAAAACAAAGCAGCTTTTTTCTTTCCAAGTTCAAGGGACTTTTAAAAAGTGAGTTTTTTCACCTATTTGAAAAAAAACTTCTTATTTGCAAAATTTTAAAAATATATTTTAAGAGCATGTATGGCCATGTAAAAAATAACGTAAGCAAAAATAAAATTAAGATTACAGTGTGGAGGCCCTGGCTGGGTAGCTCCGATTGTTAGAGCATCATCCTTAAGCACAAAGGCTGCGGGTTTAATCCCTGGTCAGGGCACACACAAGAATCAACCAATGAATGCATAAACAGATGGAGTGACAAATTGATACTTCTTTCTCTCTCTCTCTCTCCCCTCCTTCTCTTTCTCTCTAAAATTAATTAATAAAAAGATTACAATGTGGAAATAAGCAATATTTGCAGATTGTTCTTATCTGTTGATGCCTGATAGTGCCTCTTAATGCTAATATATATGCACTTTACAAATGTAGTCATGATGTCCATTTTATTTTATTTTCTAAAGACTACATATCTTGAATATTTTCTAAACTTAGCATTTAGTGATTATAATGCATATACATGTGTGTCCTGCCATGCAAGGTGCCACTATCCACAACTGTTAACAGCATTCTTCACTCAGCAACAAGTAGTAAACGTACTTCTGTCTTTCCAATAAAAGATCTACATCATCATTTCTAAGTGGCAATTTTTTTCACCCTATGGATGCTTTATAATTTAATCTGTTTTCTACTGAACGACATCTAGGTTCTTTCCAGCTTTTTTCCATTATGAATAATGTCTGTCAGCACAGTTTTACATCCTTGTATACATATACAATTATTTTCTTTAATCCTTAAGGTAGAATTTCTGAGTCAGAAAGTCTTGCAAGAATATTTCTTGTACATACTTTGAAATTTACATCCTTTGCAGGTTAGAATGTTCACTTCCCCATAAACTTGGCAATATGAGCATCAATACTCTTAAAGTGAGATTTAATATCTTTTGGTGATGTGATGTATTTGTACTTTTTACTTAGTCATGCATGCTCATGTTTCTCTCATTGGAACTAGAGATTCTAGGTTTCAGAAACAAGAGCTACTGTTTGAATGAGAGCTGATTTTTGTGGTTAGAAAAATAAGGATTTCAAATTCAGTTTTGCTACTTATTAACTGAATTTCTACAAATGATTTCACTTCTTTTAGTGTGGATTTTCTGATCTGCTGCATAGATAGGATAGTTATACTGCATAGCAATCCTGAGGGTAGCTAATGCATATAAAGAACAAATCACATGAAAGTTCTTGATAAATAGACATGTTATTATCTACCTGCTGGGAGTATAAATCCATGTCTCTTTTACCTATGTTGAAAGAGAAAGGCAATGAAGTCATGCAGGAAAGTGATGTGAATGATTCTGATCAAAAATAGTGAGGAATCCAGAAGGTTCAGGAAGTTGATGCTCTGGCAGCAGGCATGCAGGGCTGCAAGCACAGCAGTTTAACAGTGGTAATGATTGCCAGGGTTGGTTCTTAAGAATTTCAGTTTGTATGAAGTGAAGTGAAGCAGGCCTGCCAGGCTTTGAAAGAGATTCTGCTTTAGAGGATGTGACCACTTATCAGCCTTGGCATTTATATGTAGAGATCAGATTTGTTGAGACTCCCTCAAATCCTTGTGATGTGTGTTTGTGGCGGGGAAGTTAAAGGGGAAAGGACATAGTAACTTGAGTCATTTAGAGAGTTCTGAGGCTTATCTGATCTCATGGCCTCCTTTTCCTCTTCCTAGGTCTGACTTCTGTGAACTCTGTTTCTTCAGGCAAGTAAACCCCAAGGGGTACTGACCAGTTCTTGAATTTCTAAACTATGGCCCATGTAAGTTACTTATTTTTTTCTTTTCTGGATATACTGTTATGTTAAGGTCCTATGAACATTTCCTTATCCAGAAGCTTTCTACCTAAGAACCTTCTCCCAGTTCCTCTAAGTCTAGTGAGGGATGATGCTAAATAGTGCAATGTCTATCATATGAGTCCTCTTTTTTTCAAGTCACTGTTCATGTATTCATTGAGCAAACATTCTGCATCACCTATATGTGGTCATTCTCCTGCTAAGAGATGTAATGGAGCGGAAGTGAAGTCCCTTGAGGGAGGTGTTTGACCATATCTAGGGAGTTGCTGAGAGGATGGGCATGTTTGACTACTCATGGGAAAACTGAACTTTTCTATACATGAGCTTTCCATGTATATGAGATAAAATTTGCTATTGGTTGGCCTTAGCCTCAGTATATGGTCAGATCTCATACTTTGTGAGGCATTTAGGTCTGGGTAGGAATGTGGTTGGGTCTTACATGCAGAGATCAGGAATCTTCTCTGGGAATCCCTAATATTTGTATAGCAGGAATAGGATTCAATTTGTAGTTCAGCAGGATGTACTTACCTAGAAAGACATATTTGTGATTCTGGGTCACCAGTGTCCATAATCTATATCAAGATCCTCGGACTTCCAGTCAAGATGTTGGCATAGGCAGACATGGCTCGCCTCTTCACACAACCACATCAAAATTACAACTAAAATATAACACAGCCATCACTCAGAAACAAAAATCAAGCTGAATGGAAGTCTGACAACTACAGAATTAAAGAAACCACATCCATCCAGATGGGTAGGATGGGTGCAAATGCGGAATGAGCTGGTCACATGTTCATGTGTGGTGGATAACAATTCAGGAGGGATATCTCAGGAGTGAGGGGTCTCAGCCCTACACTAGGCCCCCCAGCCAAAGGTTTCAGTGCCTGGAAGATAAGTCTCCACAACTTCTGGCTGCAAAACCAACGGGGATTGAGTTGGTGGAAGAAACTGCTGATGCTTCAAGCAGTTTATTAAAGAACCCACACACAAACTTACCTACTCAGACTTGCTCTCTCTGAGCTCCAGCACTGGGGTAGCAGCTTAAAAAGCACCAGGGGCATACAGGGAGAAACTGAAGTGTCCAGCATCAAGGTGAGCAGAGGCCATTGTCCCTTTTCTAAACCCTCTCCCCAAAGAGCCACAGAGCTGGAAAGTTGGTGCTATATCTGAGACTCCACCAATCTGGCTAACACTGTTTGACCCACCTTGGGGATCCCCAGAGACTCTGCCCCATCCAACTTATGGGCCCACTCAAGCCACTTTTTATATGAATGTCTGGTCTTGGCTCATGCCGCACAACTTCTTAAATCCTTTCTAACAAGCAACAGTTGGCCTCAGTGAGCCCCAGGCCCACCACTAGCAGCAGCCAGCCTAGATTCACAACTTGGCTTCTCCTGGGAATCTCCAAGCCCAGCACAAGGAGCAGCCATCTCAGATTGCTCTATAGCTCAGGCAGGGTGGCTCTGGGCAAAAGACAGGTGTGACTTCCTCGGGCAGCCTCAGACAGGGGGCTTACCTTGGTCGGCACCACATGGGAAACCCCAGGGTCAGTGCACCCAGTGGACAGCTACAGACCATGTCATAGCACCACCACCCTGCCCCTGCACAGCTGATCCTCCACTGAGGGTGGAAGTTGGTGGTAAGTGGTCTGGCCAGTCCTTGTAGCAGACTGGCCTGGGTAAATCCCTTCCATTGATCTGCCAACATCAACCAAGGCTCAAGAGCAAGAGGAGGATATACTTAGCCCACATGAAAGGCACACCTATAGTACCCAGCTTGGGTGATAGGGGAGGCTGTGCCACTGGACCCTACAGGACATCCACTACATTAGGTTACACTACCAAGACATGGAGTCAAAGCAGCTCTACCTAATACATAGAAACAAACACAGGGAAGCTGCCAAAATGAGGACAAAGAAACATGGCTCAAATGAAAGAACAGATCAAACCTCCAGAAAAAGAGCTAAATGAAATGGAGATAAGCAATCTTTCAGATGCAGAATTCAAAACACTCGGTATAAGGATGCTCAAGGAACTTAGGACCTCAACAGCACAAAAAAGATCTGGTCAGAAATGAAGGACACGTTAACTGAAATAAAGAACTATTTACAGGGAAACAATAGGAGAGTGGTTGAAGCTGAGAATCACATCTATGATTTGGAACATAAGGAAGGAAAAAAACAAGAAATCAGAACAACAGGAAGAAAAAAAGAGTCCTAGGAAATGAAAATATTGTAAGGGGCCTCTGGGATAACTTCAAGCATTCAAACATTTGCGTCATAGGGGTGCCAGAAGGAGAAGAAAAAGAGCAAGAAATTGGAAAAGTACTTGAAAAAATAATGAAAGAAAAATTCCCTAATTTGGTGAAGGAAATAGACATGCAAGTCCAGGAAGGACAGAAAATCCCACACAAGATGGATGCAAAGAGGCCCACTTCAAGATGCATCATAACTAAAAATGCCAAAGGTTAAAGATAAAGAGAGACTCTTAAAAGCAGCAAGAGAAAAGATGTTTAGTTATCTACAGGGGAGTTCCCAAAAGATTGTCAGCTAAATTTTCAAAAGAAACTTGGCAGGCTAGAAGGGATTGGCAAGATATATTCAAAGTCATGAAAAGCAGAGACCTACAGTCAAGATTGCTCTACCCAGCAAAGATATCATTTAGAATCAAAGAGCAGATAAAGAGCTTTCCAGACAAGAAAAAACTAAAGGAGTTCGTCATCACCAAACCATTATTATATGAAATGTTAAAGGGACTTATTTAGGAAAAAGAAGATCAAAACTATGAGCAATAAAATGGCAATAAATACATATCTATGAATAATTGAATCTAAAAAACAAACTAAGCAAAGAAGAACAGAGACAGAATTAATATAGAGAGCATTTTGATGGTTGCTAGATTGGGTGTGGGGGAATGGGTGAAGAGGTAAAGTGATTAAGAAGTGCAAACAGGCAGTTACAGAATAGCCATGTAGATGTAAAGTACAGTGTAGGAAATGGAGTAGCCAAAGAACTTACATGCATGTCCCATGGACGTGAACAATTATGGGGGGATTGCCTGAGGGAGTGGGGTGGAGGGGAACAAGGGGAGAAAATAAAAAAAAAAGATCCTCTAACTCAGGAACAGAGAATGCATACAATGAGGGATGGAAAATGATAGCAGGTAAGATTATGTAGATACATAAATAGTTGTAGACCCTCAGAATTGAGGACATTGGATATTTTGTATAGACCAAAAATATTTAAGTAGGGAAGAATTAGTCTCATATATCCATTGCACAGACTATTATACAACCAATTTTATTTTGTTTATTGAAGAATCTCATTAATGGCAAAATGCTTATGATATGATCAGAATCAGTCAGCAATGAACTTGGAAGAAGTGATTTAATTGTGTTTAGATCCTTTCCTAACAGATATTGTAGGGGAACTTTCTTTTTTTTAAAGTCTGTTCTTAAGGGGAAAAGGTAGAATGACTCACATTCTTGAGAATTCATGAGTGGGATATATAGCAGGCAGAAGGCTTATGTACAGTGTTTCATTTAATTGGAAAACTATTGTTTTTTTCTTTTGCAGACATATTTGAATAGTTAAGATATGCCAGAGTATGTAAGAAGCTGTATCTGTAGCAACAGGATCCTTCAAGAACACACAGACCTGCTGCTTCTGGCACAATCATTTTCTAACTCATTAGGTTATAGGCTTCCAGCTCAAGCCTGTTTGCTTGCTTGGTCCATTTCCTTCAGTATTTCTTCCATCCTTCCTCCTTCCATCTTAAAACAAATTTTCTTTAATTTTAATTGTCTTACATGGTTTGTCATTTCAGGGATCAGTGATATTCAGTGATGTGTCCATAGTCTTCTCTCAGGAAGAGTGGGAATACCTGGACTTGCAACAGAGGGACTTGTACAGAGATGTGATGTTGGAGAACTATAGCAACTTGGTCTCACTGGGTAAGGTTATTTGTCTGTAGTGTCACACTCTGTTCCCTGTAATATCAGCTTTCTTTTCTGAAAATTTCAGCAGTATTTTTCAAGAAATTATCTAAATTTCTGCTCCCTGTTCTCAAAGGAATGGTTTGAGCTTTACTTGTTTGGAAGTGAGCACCTTCATTAAGCATTTCATCTTTCCTATCCTTAAGTGGCTTCAGGCCTTTTTTAATCATGAAAGGGCTGGATCTGAAATCTGGGTAACTTATAGCCATATCAGTGTCAAAGAAATCAGGTTTCACTTTGTGTTTGAACTTAGATTGCTATAAGTATATTGTTATTTGTTGGTATATGTTTCAGGAAAATAGCTACACTTTGATTCTTGGTTTTTCTCTGACTATCAAAAGAACAGATTTTTGTAGTGGTAAGTTGGATCAATTTTTTACAAATCAAGAGAATACATTGTTTTGTATTAAACAGATTCACTTTTACCTACTTTTATGACTAAAAGTTAAATATCCAAGAACTTTGCATTTAATATTTTAGGAATATCCTAAGAAATAACAATAAATGCCTCAGGAAGTTTCTTTTTTTTCTCTTAAGCAAAACAGCAATAACAATAAATAATAGCTAATAAAATACAGATAGCACTTAGTATATATATTGTAAGCAATGTTTAGACATAGATATAAATTAATATAACCTTCACAACTGTGTAAGATAGATATTATTATAATCCCTATTTTTGGGGTGAGGAAAATAACGCAGGTAACTCATCCAACTGGGATGTGGCAGAGGCAGGATTTGAACCCAGGCATTCTGTGCCCTCAACTACTATAGACTCTCAAGAAGTACATGTATGAAATATAAATTAAAATAAGACCTTTTCCTTCTGTTTATTATGTAACTTTACTGTGTATATTTTTAAACCATCTTGTCCTTTTTTGTTCTAAAGTCTTTATCAATTACCATTTCACTTACAGTCAAATTTAACCAAGAGTAAATCAAAGTAATTTTGAATTGCATTTTAATTTTTATGTCACCTTACATTTTTTTCTTCTAACTAGGATGCTTCATATCTAAACCAGATGTGATTTCCTTATTGGAACAAGGAAAAGAGCCCTGGAAAGTTGTGGGGAAAGAAAGATTATATTCAGGTGAGTAAGAACCAATGCAGCAAGGGAAGCCATCACCAGAGGATACTGCTCAACTGCTTAGGGAAGAGGCACACCCTTTTGATGTTGTTTAGGAAGTCCTCTTTTTAAAGGTCCATGACCTGAAGAGAAGAGATCTGAGACCTGGGGAACAAATTAACATCTTAGAGGGGACACTAATAGAACTAATTCTTTATCTTATTTTCCATTTTTTTGTTATTGTTCTCTCCAATTTTCCTCCACTTTGAAAAAAGCAGATAGATAGACAGGTAGACAGACCAACCAACTTCTGAACTGGGCACTCTGTTAGACACTATTGATCCAGTAATACAAAACCAATAGAGCCCCTTTCTCTATGGAATTTATCTTGTAATTAGAGAAACATAGTAACTGTAAATATATAGAAAATACAATATCAGGTAATAAGAGAGCGCTATGAAAAGTAAGCAGAGTAGCCCTGGCCTGGTGACCCAATTGGCTGGAGCATCATGCCATACACCAAAATGTGGTGGGTTTGATCCCCAGTTGGGTATGTATGGGGAGACAACAGACTGATGTTTGTCTCTCTTTTTCTCGTTTCCTATCTAAGCATATCCAGAAGTAAGGATTTTAAAAAAGGAAAAGAAAAATAAGCAGAGTGAGGGAATAGAGACTGGTATAGGATGGGAAGGCCTTTTTTAGTTATGGTGAGGGAGGTTTTTGTTTTTCACCTTTTCACATAAATTTTTAAATGGGAAATAAAATACTACAAAGAAGAATATGCTTGACATTGCAATACTATATGTTTAATGTTTTATCAGCAATTAAAGTTTTATATGAATTTACTCTTACATAAAATAATATAAGTGGAGCCACTTCAAAATGGTGTCAAAGCTACCATCCCAGAGGAGCTGCTTTGGACATCTTATTCCTCAAACCTTTGGAATGTTAATGCTAGGCAAAGTCACCTTTGGACTGGGCCTACAGCAGCCTTGTATTCCAAACAACTGTTGGCAAAGCTAACAAAGAAACAGACACTATGGCTGAAAATTAAAGATGTACTTTATATTTAGCATGACTGTTTCAGCTTATCTGTGCCAATAGAAATTCTTTCCTTCTATTGATACAATTTTTCTCTTCCCCTTTTCATAAATATCCCTTGCCTTCAAGGGGATATTATTTGGGTTTCTGCCTGAATCAATACATCCAAAATAGCTATTCTTTTGTATCTTAAATAAATGCTAGTTGCTTCTTAAATTGGCCTTTTGTTTTTAGGTTAACACTCCAGAAGATAGGTCCAAGGATCACAGTATATCATTCCTATTTGTGCATATATGAGGGGGAACCCCAAAAAACCAGAATTACCTTCTGGAGGGCGAGCCCCTTGTAGTACAGGCTTCCCCTGGCTAGGTGAGTGTTATAGGAACCCATCTGTACCCTAGATGGGTTATTGTTGTGAGAGGCTACTTTCAGCTTCAGTGAATTTTTTGAAGACTCGATACATTTGCCCATTTCGTTATGAGTGATTTATAAGTGCACCTGCCTACACCATGCTGAGCATTCAGCAGTTTTTGACCAAAAACAGCATGACCCCAATGCCCTACCCTCCCTATTCACCCAATCAACCCCTGAGCGACATTTTTTTTTTGTTTTCCTGGGTAAAAAAAAAAAAGACCTCGAAGGGAAACATTTTGCAAATGTGGAAGAGGTGAAACAAAAAACAGCAGAAGCACTCACTAAAAGGCATCAAAATCGACGAGTTCAAAAACTGTTTTGAGCAGCAGAAAAAAGTCTCAATAGGTGTATTCCATCAAGTGGAGAGTACTTTGAAGGTGAATGAGGTTTAAACATGTAAGAATAAATACACAATTTTTTATAAATAAATTCTGGGTTTTTTGGGGTCTCCCCTCATATATGTATGCATGTACATATATATGTGGTATACATACACACATACCCCTTCTCATCAGGAAGAAACATGAATGTGGTAGACTATAGGTAGAATGATCCCTTGGTATAGCTTCTACCTCTATTTTCATCTCTCTTTGAACCTCTTCTTTAAAAAATGTCCTTAAATTCCTTTAATACAGGCATATATGTGTTGTTATTTTGGCTGGCTGAGGAGTCTCATTTTAGGATAAAAGTTCTCCTTTTGTAAAAACAGAGCCATTTAAGTGTCCACACTGTTTATAATACATCTTCTGGCTTACTTTCTACCAAAGGAAAGAAAAACATTTTTTCCCAATCCTAACTTATTTTCTTATTCACACTTAGGTAATTAAATGACATTTACAACTATTAATACTAAAAAAAAGTAATGAAGTGCAGAAGTTCCAAATGATTATGATAATATCAGTTTAGTTAGGAAATCTTTAGCCAAAATAACAATTGTTGACTCAAAGATAGACACTTTGAAAAAAATTCATTTTTTTCCTTCTGTTTCTTCCTTTTTTGTTTTTTGTTTCCTTTTTTTATTTATAAATCATGTTTATTCTATTACAGTTGTCTCAATTTTTACCCCTATACTCCCCTCCACCCATCCCACCCGCTGCTCCCACAGTCCATTCCCACTCTGTTGTCCATGTCCATGGGTCATCCATACATGTTCTTTGTCTAGTCCCTTTCCCCATCCCCTCTGGTCACTTTCAGTCTGCTCCATGTTCCTACGCCTGTGGTTTATTTTGTTACTTAGTCTATTCTATTGAACAGAGTGCACTTATAGGTGAGATCACATGGTATTTGTCCTCCATCAGCTGGCTTGTTTCACTAGCTTAATATTCTTCAGTTCCATCCATGTTGTAGCAAAAGGTTAGAGTTCCATTTCTCTCTCTCTCTCTCTCTCTTCTTTCTTAAATGCAGATTGATTTTATTTATGTTTTTAGATGTCAAAGTTAATTATAAAATATTTAAAAAATTTAAAACCATTCTAAAGTCTCAGCAATTAAACCAACATGATATCAGCACAGAAGTAAGTAGATCAATGAAATATAATGAGCATTCTAGAGACAGACGTATATATCTGTCTGACAATATAATATATGATTAAGTTGAGATTTCAAATCAATGGGTAATGTCAGGCTTATTCAACAAATAAGGTGCACGGACCATGATTACATGAAATAAAACAAATATAGAGCCCATTTCACACATTATACAAGAACTACTCAGGTGAGTTAAAAATCAATATGTAGAATCTAAGGAAGTTTAGAATAAAATAGAACTAATATTTTTCATGACCTGAAGTAAAATATTCAACCCCAGAAGTTATAAAGTAAATATTGACACTATGACTATATTAAACATTTAACTATATAGTAATATACATATAAAAAAAGTTAAAGGACAAGGAATAGAATAGAAAAGTATTTGCAACACATCTAAAACATGGTTAATAGGGTTTTTTTTTCCTATGGGGGGAGAAGTTTTACAAACCTTTAATCAATAAATGCATAAAGAATACCAAAAAGTCATTTAGAGCTTTTTTTAAAAAAATAATAGAAATAGGCAAGGAATACACTAAAACAGGTTTAGTTTCAACAAATAATAAAGGAACAATTAAAATAACATCATTGTCACAATCAGATTAATTAGTATTAAAACTACTGGTAATATCAAGTATTGGCAACTCGGAAAGGAACTGGGTATTCATAGAAACTTTTTCTTCATCTTAAAGCAGTCCCTCTAGCATATTTTGCAGTGCTGGTTTGGTGGAGATGTGTTCTTTTAGCCTTCTTTTGTCTGGGAAACTCCTTACTTCGCCTTCCATTTTCATTGAGAGCCTTGCTGCGTAGAGCAGTCTTGGTTGCAGACCTTTCCTTTTCATGACTTGAAATCTTTCTTGCCATTCCCTTCTGGCTTGCAGTGTTTCTGTGAAGAAGTCAGATGCTAGCCATATTGGGGTTCCCTTATATGTTACTACCTCTTTCTCCCTTGCTTGCTTTAGGATTCTCTGTTTGATATTTGCCATTTTAATGATGATGTGTCTTGGAGTGGGCCTCACTGGGTTCCTCTTGATTGGGACCTTCTGGGCTTCCTGGACTTGTGTGACTTTTTCTCTCCTCCAATTAGGGAAGTTTTCCATCATGACTTTTTCAGACAGGTTCTCTATCCCTTCCTCCTCCTCCTCTTCTCCTTCTGGTATTCCTGTTATGCAGATATTATTACGTTTCAGGTTGTCCTGCATTTCCCTAAGTGCCTCTTCATTCTTTTTGAGTCTTTTTTCATTTTCTTGTTCTTTCTGGGAGCTTTGTTCTGCCTTATCCTCCAGCTCACTGATTTGGTCCTCAGCGTTGTTGAGCCTGCTTTTGATTCCTTTACTGTGTTCTTCAATTCAGAAATTGTATTCTTCATTTCCTCTTGTCTCTTATTGAGAGTTTCTATGTCCTTTTTCATGCTGATACAGTTTGCAGTAAGTTCCTCATAGTTTCCCTGTAGTTTTTGGTAATTCTCTCTGAGCTACTGAGCTCATTGAGCTTCCTTAGAACCATTGTTTGGAACTCAATATCTGATAGTTTACTTGCCTCCATTTCATTTAGTTCTTTTTCTGGGGATTCCTCCTTTCCCTTAGAATGGGGCATATTTCTTTGTCTTCCGATTATTTGTGAGACTCTTCTCTTTTACTTCTGCTTCTTAAGTTGATCTGTCTTGACTTCCTGTCTTTGTGGTGTGAACTTCTATGGTTGGAGACCGCTGTTTATACTTTCTGGATCTGCCTCTGATGATGTCAGATGTTGACCTTGTCTGACCTTAGGCAGTGTGTTCGAGACTTCCAGGAATCTACTGTCTGTGGCTCTGTCCTTCAGCTGTTAAACTATTCACTCTGCACTCAGCAGGCCACCTTAGACAGCTCAGGGCGGGGCAGAGTCCCTCTTGGGGGTGGGAACATGGGGTCCTCTCACGCTGCTGCCATATAGGGGAGGAGTCCGCGCTGGGATCCTGCCGGCTACTTGCTCTGTTCTCTCCCCAAAGCCTCCGTCCCCACTTTCCCCTCAAGTGTCGCCAGACCTGTCAGCGTCACCTTTAGC